CCACAAAAACGTATGCAAAGAAAGTGCATGTACAAAGGCCATTTGCAATTTTACAAAATGGCAGACATAATGCTTTTACTGAAAAATGAGGGCCTGCCATATTGTGTTGGGGAGGAAAAAGTACGGCAGCAGAGGAAAAATGGAGAAAAATCATGCTGGCCTGGTTTACGACAAATAGATAGCTCTATTGATTTCCCTTTTACAGTGACTGTCCATCCCTCACTGTTGTGATTACACTGACCTATTTCAGAAAAAAATAGCCGTCTATTATAGATTAAACCAAAATGTCCAAAAAGAAAATACTCTTTTTGTGGAACAAACAAATAGAGTAAGATGAAACATAACCTACAGTACAGAGGGAGAAAAAGATTGTGTCAATTTAAGCGTTCAATGTTGCTCTGGGAAAAGAGGAAACAACGAGTTCTAGTACCATGCTGAGAATCAAATAACTTTCCACAGGAAGAGCGGCTGTGCTTAGTGGGGCCCTGCATTGTCAATTTCAATTCTGACAAAAAAGGCAACAACATTAAAATGATTGCAATATTGCTTAAACAACATATATACATAATGCCAATTTTACAAACTTAAAAAAGAAATAATGTTCAGTAAGAACAACAGCATATAAGATTTATTGATTACTTGATAATAATCTAATGTACTGTATGTTCAACTGTATTAGGTTTTTGACTCTAATACACTACAGCACGGTTCAGTGTTGTATGCTTTGTGCTGATGATTCCTCTGTGTCTGTGTGTATTGCTGTGTGTGCTCGTCCTGCTCCACTATGTCTGTGCTGTGCGTCTCACTAGACTATCTCTCTCCGCGTAGCTCAGGGGACTCTGGCTGGCTGATCTTCATTATCAGCCCTAGCTTAACAATGTACTGGATGCACTTCCCACATGAGTGCAACTAACAAATCCCCACAGAGCTGAATCAAGGCAACAATGTGATGAAATACCTTCAAACAACCACTGAGCATGGAACACTGAGCTATGCAGAGACAACTCACACTGCCCTGGGCGATTCCACAGGAGTGCGCCTGTTGCCAAGCAAAATTAGACAGCAACTGGGACATATTATTCTCCTAAATTGGCAATGTACAGCCCTATTAAGGTCCATAAATCTCATGTTTGATTAACTAAAAATACCTCATCTCACAGAGCCAATGTATTACCATTCTACAACTCAGAAATCCATGCGGGATCTGCCATGTCATTTAGAGGTAAAGCAGATGCTTTACAGGGGTAAAAGCTGTCATTGTGCTATGTGAACACAGAGAGCATTATTAGAATTAATAATGCTGTTAGCATATTTTTCCAAATATACACGACACCTCTTTTATGAGAGAAAGTTAAAATCCACAAATGCATGAAATCTACAAACCCTGGGATAATAACTTTGACGGAGTCTCAATGACTGATGACTAATTTCAGTGTAACTCTGCACTGTGTTTCTAAGGCAGTGCAGAAGAATCTAAATCATCTGGTTCCTTTAAAACAGATTGGCTGTACTATTACTATGTGAGTGCAGATCTCTGACGAGAGAAACTCAATACAAGCTGCTAGCAAATAAATGAAGATGCAGGAGCAAGGCCATGTTTCTCAATCAGTGTAAGGAGTCTGTCACCACAATGGAGATAAATATAGGGTAAAAAAAAAACTGGGACTCTCTACAATGTATCTGTAAGACTGAAGAGAGGAAGCCTCGTCTGTCTCCTTTTTCTCTTTTCCTGGAGTTACATTTGTACTACTGCCTCCCTCTGGCCACTCTATTTCCAATTTAAACTCTCACACACTACATATGGTACACATTAATACAGGGGGTTGGCAGAATAACACAAACACCTGTGAAATATAATGAAATCAAATACAAATAGCAATGCATGAATAGTGCTTGAATAATAGTGAAGTGTTCCTTTGTGATTCTTCATTTTTTCTGAAAACTGCAAATTCAGGTCTTTGGTGATATTTGAGGACACATTTTTGGTGTTTCAACACTGTATTTTAATAAAAAATAAAAAATAAAAAAGTGTTATTTAGACATATGTACAATTCATCTTGTATTATTATCTTGTCTTTTACAAAGCAAACTGTAAAAAATATGCAACTTAATGTAGTTATATAAGTCTTTTTCTTGTTGTGTATCATAGCCTGAACAGTCAGTCAGACAATTAGTTCATTGTACATCTACAGCTGCAAGAGAGAGAGAGAGAGAGAGAGAGAGAGAGAGAGAGAGCATTAGCTCTTGGTAATCAGGAGATCTGCTCTGTTAGAGGAAGAGCATCCTGGCTACACGACCTGTGTGTGTGTGTGTGTGTGTGTGTGTGTGTGTGTGTGTGTGTGTGTGTGTGTGTGTTAGCTAGCTCTCTGCTATTTGAGCCGTGAGACAGAGCCCCAGACGGCTGATGGTAGATTAGAGGTGAGACGTCTAATCTCAGTGTAATCAGCTGCTGCATCTGATACTCAGCTCCACACCATCTCTCTCAACAGGTCCAAACAGAAACTCATCTCGAAGCAACACAGACTTGCTGAGGTAGGAGAAGGTGATGGCGTATATCTGGTGTCCACCATCAAAGTGAGAAAAAAATAAAAAAATAAATTTAAGCCTTCTTAAATCTTTTTCTGTCATTTCTTTTTGGAACAGGAAGTTTTAGGGATACATCAACTGATACTAAAAGTCCACATAACAGACCACGTATAAAACTGTCAGTGAAATGTACAGGAAAACCACAGCTGACTTCTTGCTAAGAATTACAGCCTTGTGGTACAGAAAGTGTTGGCGTGGGGCCGCCCCTTATGGGCAAAGAAGAAAGAAGGGAAGACAGAGTGAGAGAAGAGAGGGTGCTGCCTCAGACAGACAGTAAATCTACGTAAGTCCTTTTACCAGCCAGAATGGGGAGAGTACATCACAGTCATTGGCACAATGATATAAGTATCTGTTTTCATTTTAGAATACTTCACCTTCTGATGGCTCAATGATTAGTCCAGTCGGGTGGATGGAAGAGGAAAGTAAGGGAAAGAAAGATGAGAGAGGAGACGATAGGAGAGGAGAGAAGAGGACAGGATTGGAGAGAAGAGGAGAAGAGAGGAGAGGAGTCTGCCAGTGAACAGCTGCCCCTGTAATTTATATTGATGAGGGGACAGGCATGGCAGGGAGCTTCCAGCAGTTTGATCACTCAGGCAGAGTGGGGAGTTAGTCAGAGACACGGCCCATCCCTGTGGTCTGGGTTGGACTGGGAAGACCTCCTAAACACACACACACACGCACACACGCGCACACACGCACACACGCACACACACACACACACACACACACACACACACACACACACACACACACACACACACACACACACACACACGCAAGCCAGCAGTGTGGACTGGTGTAGTGGGGAAGCCAATGTTTTCACTCTGAGAACAGAAATAGATCTACAACCTGACTATAACCATGTAGGGCAGAGCAATCTCCCTCATTATTACTCCACCAGCCATATAATCACCAGCCTTCTCTGAAAAAGACCTTCCCTCCACAATCTCAATGACCATTAACTGGCCCTTGAACGTCTTCTTGTGCACACAGCTCTGACGAGGTTCTACAGCCGTTTCCTGTCTTTGAGGCACAGCAATCAACTACTTGTTAAGGGGCTTTACTTTGATTTCCTCACATGGACACAATTTGAATATTTCTCACTGAAATGAGACAGCGTAGTCCAGTCTCTGCCCAGGGCTTTGAACCCAAGACTCTTAAATCATGCTCTTTGATTTGAGCCCCCTTCCGGTGTAGAGGTGCTTAGCGCCTTACTAATTAAGATAGTGGGGCGGTGGATGGTGGGTCAAAGCGTTTCTGTTCTACCTTGAAGATATCCTGACACAAACACGAACATGCACACACACACATCAAAAAAAAAAAAAAAAAACACTCCCATAGCCCCTCCAGACAAGCAAATAGCTTAACACACAATCATGCTGCTGTTTTGACGGGGCTGTTTGAGTAAGGTAGAGCTGTCTAGCATAAGAAGATCATATCCTTTGCCCTGCTGTCTGATGTAGGAAAGAGCCAGGGTGTTTTACAGGGCAAGACACAGCCTCTCACAATCTGAAGCACTCCGACCGCTCTTACAGAAAAGCCCTCTGGCCGTCCCTCTCCACAAGTTTCATCAGAGTGATCAGAGCAAAAGGATAGCCTTCAGGGCTAGTTTCTTCCATCCACACAGTGGGGTATGAACACACGCATAGATGTACACACAGACACAGACACACTGTAGTACACAACACAAAAGCGTTTTTACATGCCTTTTCGATTGCACTTCACACATGTCAAAAATACAGTACAAATCTCTTGGAAATCATTGATTTCTACAGGTTTGACTGTTCATCAATTCTTCATGAGCAGAATGAAATTGAAAAGGCAGTGTTGGTTAGAAAAGGCAATGCCTGTGTACTATTGTTGTACTGCACAAAGAAGTCTTGCATCTCACATGTGAGACATGTATCGCACACTGTCTCTGTATCTTTCAATTCCAGTGATATGATCTGTACTTGAACAATACAAACTCTTGGTAGTTAATGCACCCTCAGAGGTTACAAACCACCACAACACCACATCCGTGTTTTTCAGCTGCAAGGCCTTGCAGAAAACAAAGAAGTGCTTCAGCACACTGTCTGCTTCAACTGTGCAAGTTTATCAAACAGTCATAAGACTGCATAGCATTTTAATTTCCTCTCTGGGGTTATCACCATATTCTCTCCAGGATGAAGAAATGCGACATAGTGAAAGTGGATGACACAGATCTAATTGAAGGTATTGATTTATTACAATACTAATCAGAAACACTGTGTGAATACGCACTAGTGAAAGAAGAGTCAACATAGATAGAAACACAATGATCTAATTTCCACTGTAACCTCTACACTGACTAATTTTTCTTAGAATTAAATGACATGTTAACAGCCTTAAACATGTAGTACAAGAGGAATAAAAAAAAAAATCTTTGTACTCACAGGTATGTGTCTTCTTTGTTACTGAGATACCTGCAAAGACAAAACAAACAAACCATGAAAAGATATATGAAAAACAACTGTAAAATACCCAGCACAAACCATAATTTACATTTCTGCTTATACTGTAGCTAACTGATAGTGATGATGGCAATGAAGAGGTAGACCCTGTGGTCGAAACAGACTGTGACTGTCCAAGGTCACTGACGTGGCAGGCAGAGGGCAATTATGTGTGTAGGCTGGTGTCTGACCTACGGCCATGCTACATCAACATTCACGACAAGGTGGCTGAAACTCTATTCTCTGCGGGCAATGAATGAAAAATTATACTAAAAACAAACAACATTTGGAATGCTAATGTGTGTTGAGCAGCCACACTGATTGGGCCTGAGTGCATGACCAGGCCTGTGGCCCAAAGTGGGATAGGGGCACTTTGACCTCAATGTTAGTTAGTAAATGTTTTATTTAAACAGGTCTCAGAGATTGGGACCTCTTTTTCAAGAGACTGTGTACATAAAATGTATGTGAAAGCATACAACAAAAGTATAATTTAAACACAAATTAACATACACAACACCAATTAAGTCAGAATATAAAGAAAACAATTACACAAACATTTAAAAGATCAAAGCCTGATTTCTGCAAAAAAAAAAAGGTTGCTACATAAATTCATTTGTACTGATCATTGAATTTAAAGCTTAAGATTGGAAAAAAATATACAATGGCGAGTGAAAAATATATCACCATAATGTGCAATGCAGTCCACTGTGATGCACAGAATCCTGAACTTTTTAAGTCGAAGGAGAGGCTTATGTCTACAGACAACAGTGAGCGTTGTCAATTTCAGAACCTCAGAAAATTTACTATTTGGATACCATTAGTGGTGAAATGCAAATTAGAGATCTTGAAAGCAGCATCCACTTTTTCAATTTTTCATTCATTATGGTGCCATATAACGTGGTGCATTACAATGTGGAGTGGCACACATTATACATATCATTCATATATTGTCAGAATGAAAGAGGACTCAACACAGACCCCTGTGTTACACCTTTGGCAATTTTCCATACACATGTGCCGGCTTTGCCAGACTTGGTTTGACAGAGCACCAACTAACTTTGCATTTTCACAACAACAGGGCTACTAGCTTGAAGGCGTGTCTTTACAGGGAGAGACTTGCGATGGTCAAGGGAGCTCAAGATTAAATTAAAAGAAAGTGTTTTATTTTATAGATTATTGTTTTATAGAAAAGCCGCGAACTAACTCTGCTCCGATGATAAACATTTAACTTCCTATACATTTTTCACAATATAAATCTCTGGTTATTTTGTTATTTAATAGCTGTTATTATGAAGCAGCAAAACCAAGAAGTGTTGGGTTTTCATCAGCAGTAACTAAACACAATTCCTACAGCTGAAAAACCGATCTGAAACATAAAAATAAAGCAGATTTCTGAAAGCACAAACAGGAACACAGTAGAAAAACTAAACTTCAAACCACAGAGATTCAGTTAGAAGATACAAAAGTACAGACAGCTGAACACTCAGAGACTGCCTATCTGCTCTCCTGTACAAACAGAAGTTGAGTCTCGCATGTATTTTGAGGGGGAGAAGAGGGTCTTGGCCCCGTTTGGAGGTGGCACAACTTGGCACGGCCAAAATGCTAATAGAAAAGCCCTACTTTACTAACTTTAAGAGTTGTTATTTGTACCATTGCAAACAACAACAATTACGTCCAGACAGACCATAAAAAAGTTCACTGTAAAAATAATCTTCAACTTAGAAAGATAACTTTTTCAAGAAAATGTCACCATCCATGATCTCAAATGCTTTGATAGGTTGATAGGCATTGACAATATCACGAAGCTGTTACTGTGCTATGACATGGTCGACATGACATGACTCTAACAGCACTTGTTCCAAGAAAGGCCTGTGGTGCAGCCCACTAAAGAGTCCAGTATTCTAACCAGGTAGGTAGTTTTGAATTTGGATGTTAATTATTTGAATCAGTGAGACAACCTGTGCAGCCCTCTGTACATGTGGATTCATGCTGGATCTAGAAGTAAGGTCAAACATAATAGCCAGCGGGGGCTACAATTAAATGAGCACTGAGGCGTAGAACAGGAAGGATCTAAATTATTCTCATCCTTTGACTTCGTAAAATTGAAACTCACCAGTTTACTGTAACCTTCAATCTGACAGTGAGGTTTGAGAGATGTATGGTATGCAGAAATGTATAGTGGTGGATGTAGAAAAAATCTGATAGATGAGATACAAGCAGTGGTGTGTGTATTTGCAAACTGCTTATCAAACAAGTGTTTAGACTGACCAGTGTGAGTCAGACGTGGCTGAGGCTGAGGTGGAGCTCTGCTGCTACTGCACATGCTGCCCTTCCTCGCCCCTTCGGGTGTCAACTCACCGAATGAGCCACTTCGGTTCTTGCTGGGGCTCCGGCTGCTTCTCCTGTCTGCAACATTGCTCTAATGCCCCAGGAGCCTGACGCGGACGAGCGCACAGCCAGCCGTGGTCCCCAGCGGCCCGCTGGATGCTCATGCTTTGCAGGGCGATAGCACACTAATAGATCCCACTTGTCATGCGGAAGCAATGGCTAATTTTTCTACAGCTTGCATTTGAAACTCGGGGGACGGCGAGCTGACATGATTCAATAACTCTCTGTGAAAAAGGCGTCTGGCCGGAGATAACAATGTTTCAGACACGTTTGAGGGAAAACGAGTCAAAGAGCAACGAGGGGGAAAACAAATAAGCCCTTCAGCCTCCTATAGACATACACACAGAAACACATAACTGATATCAACTCCACTGAGCAGAAAGAGGGAAAACAGTCACCTAGGGGCCAGCAGTCTGTGATGGAGCTCTAGCACTGTTCCAGTGCTCAGGGCCAAAAGCCTCTGTTCTGTCCAACTGTGACATTACGCAGGGAGAAAATAAACAGTGATCCAGTCTTAATTCTACACTTCAAGCAAATGACATGGAAGCCAGCAAAAGCTGATGGTCCATTAAGGAGCAGAGGTGTCAAGGTGCTGTAACACAAGGCAGCAGTAAAAGCCTTTATTAAGGAGTTAACTGGCTCTTTGTTTTGATGGGTAAGACAACTTCTTAAACCATGTAAGGAACATAGCTGGTGCGCTTAGTGGAAACTGTATTAGAAGGAAATAGCTTATAAGCAACTTTTTCCTGGCTTTTTGTCAAATCTTACACTACGACTTTTACAGACACATAAAACAGACATTCTCAGACTATTCAAGAGGAGTCTGGTGACAATTAGACAAAATATATAATTTAATCTAAAGGTACTTTATTTCATATGAAATGTCCATAACTTACAGAAGGTGCAAAAAGTGACAGAATTCAAAATTACTGCTTGCTGCCTGTATTTGTCTTTTTCTGACCTGTTTCACGTGTGCCCTTGTTTGACCAAAGATCTTAAAGATATAAACAAAAATGTTTATGACTCAGGAAGTGAATGAGGGTATGTATACAGTATATGTTTTGCCCAGGGTTAGCCACACAGACCACACTGACAACAAGATGTTCTGCTGTCCATGGTTACTTAACTGCCAAAGTCAAGAAGGAACAATTCATCTGGTACTGTGAAGGATCATGTTTCTACACCTCAGATTTTCTAAAGGCTTAAGACCAACATAAATTTGACTTGAGGAACAGTTTCTTTTTATTTATTACAATGTAATTCTGATACTAACTGACTGATACAAAGTAACTATTGCCTCACTTGAATGAACATACCAAATCTGAATGCTTCACAAAGTCAAATCTATTTAAGGAGGGATATTTACTGTAAAGGTACCCTGGGGATTTTCCAATGTAAACAAACACAGTTTTGTTTACTGGACTTTGGGAGTTTCCTCAGGGCCATGTCGAATGCATTTACTACCTCGTGAAAATGTGCTAATTTGTTTTGAAACCTGCATTGTTTAAATTGTCCAGTGGCCGCCTTCTTCCTCTCTTTTTTGTCCACATTGCTACCTGTTATGGCACGTTACTGACATCAACTGTCAATATGCAATACCCAACTGCTGCAGTCAGCAGCAACGTGTACCATCTCACCCACGCTTGTGGTGTGAGAGTGTATGCTCGTGTGTGCATCTCAACAAATAATTTCTCCACGGTGCCCCTACTGCTCAAAAATTCCACAGCATACCATTAGATGGTTTGTTTATAAAAATCTCCACTAGACACGTACTCTACCTCATTAAAAATTCCATAATCTATGAATATTCAAATGTTATTAATTTCTAAAGTTTTCCTGCTGGACACAAGATGTCTCCTACCTAAGTCCAATCTCAGTGTATGTGCACTGGTGGCTTCAAGTTTCTACATCACACTCACATAAGTAGCATACTGGACTGTTTGTGATGTCACAAATCATGCTCATATGCCTGCCCCTTGATATCTGATTTTTAGTAAGCACAGAGGAAACTTTTAACAGATTAAGGTGAAAACATGCTGCCAACTCTGTCAAACTCTGCACATACATCATTCTGCACAGTGAAACTCAAACATCCAACTGTAGGAACAAGAAGAAAAACATCTTTGAGTGGAGGGGGTCTTTAAGATCAATAAAACCAGATTCACAGAAAGATATGAGTCATATGTAAATTTCAAACTTCAAAAAGAAACAGCCAACACAGCCAAAACTTGAATTTGAGTATCATTGTGTGTGTGTGATAAGGTTCCCTACCACAATATGTTCTAAGGTGCAGAGAGAAAACCACTTACATCAGCAACGCTCATTTGGCCTGTTGCTATGCAGGTTAGAGGAAGCAGGAGGGGCGGGTTAGTGGACCCACTTCCTCCTCTATGTGTCATTCAGAGCCCTGTGATTGGAGGTGGCAAGGAGAAGGGGCCACAAAGCCAATGAATGAGTCAGGCAGTGAGAAAGAAGGAGTTAGCTCTGGGCACTGACATTGGCAATGCCTGCCAGCTCATGTCTTCTCCACTGGATGGCAGGTTCAGAGGTCAGTGTGGAGGTGAAGCTCTCCTTGGCTGACAAAC